TCATTACTTGTTTAAAGCTTTCCCCTAATTCCACCCAGTGCTCAATATTCTGATTACCATGGGCTTTGGCACAGGACCATTATTAAGACCCCTGTCTGCAAACTGGATCATGGATTTTTACTTCTCTGTATCAAAGGTTGGACTGAAGGATGTCTTCTGTCACCTCTTTTTTTTTTTTTTTTTTTGTTTTTTTGGGGTCGGGGTCTCCCTGGTCCCCCCGGCTGCCTGAAACCCACTATGCAGACCAGGCTGGCCTTGAACTCAGAGAGACCCGCCTGCCTCTGCCTCCTGAGTGCTGGGAATAAAGGCATGTGCCACCATGCCCAGCTTGTCACCTCTATTTTGTCCTTTTCTTCTTTGATAGCTGACTTCTCCCATGGATGCCAGGTTTGGGGGTTCTAGGAAGGACTTGTTAATACAGATCTAACTTGTATTTTCTCTACCCTTTGACCTCCCAGCTTTGAGAAGTGGCAATCTAGAACCTCTACTTCCCTTTCTCTTTTATTCAATTTATTGGCTAGACTGGAGGGAAATTCAGACTTCAGATCCCTGTCTCTTTCTCACTACACTTCCTCTCTTACACCTGTAGTCTCCCTCTCATCTACCATCTCAGCCTCAGTTAGCTCTCTTATGATGGTAGCGGAGGCCAGGCGGTCTTTGCAGCTGCTTGCTTGATACCTTGACACCTGATGCGCTACTCTCACATCTTGTAATGGTTGCTTTAGGCCTTCGGCTCTTCTCAAAATGTCTCCATACACTCGTGGTAGACCCCACCATCAATCAGTAGTGCCACTCCATACCACCTAGAAGACTGCCATTCCAGGATTTCCCCCAGGCATCCTCTGCCTAGGTGGTTATACATCTCATCACCCACTGCACTACCCACTGCCACTGCCCCCACAACCCTATAGGAATAGCCCACCATGTCAAAATCTCCTCTGCAAACATTCCTTCCCTTCCTCATATCAGGGACACCACCATTGCTCTTCCCAAACTCATCTTGGTTTCATCCTATCTTGCGTGCTATGCCAAGTGTTGCTAAAACTCCTTCCCTGGGGGAGATGTAAACAACATCCATCCCCTCCTCCCTTGGTCCCAATGACAAATTCTACTCCGATTCTACTCTGGGAAACCAGTGAGTTTACTGGACTTACTTACAGAACAATGGGTAAATGTGAGCACTCTCCCACCCTAAGGCTGCACCAGAAGGTCTGCACCCGGGCATGAACGACAGCTGCTCCATAGCTGCATAAATAGGGAGCCCCTCCCTAGTCTTCCTCAGCCTGTACGCTCTAGCCCTTCCCCTAGACCTCACCAAATGAGGGCTGAATTGCTCACCACAGGTTGGGAGGTATGGCTGGAAACTCAGCTGAGGATGCTGCAACTCACCATTGCATAGCATCCCTCCTTCTATGCATAGCATCAACATGCGACCAGCCCAGCTATGGTGATGTTTAGTAAGTGAGCACAACTGAGCCGGGGAAGTTGCATCTGTCTGACTCAGAGGACTGTCCTGTATAACACCACCATTTTAAGCATCCAAAGGTGTGCTCCATGACATTGAGCTAAGCATGCCCAAAATGTTTTTATCTTTCCTTTTAATATTATGACCTTAAGCTGGACGTGCTTAGGAACATATTCCTTAACTGTGAATGCTCAGTGCCCCCTGCCCCATGATTTCGTGTATGAGCATGTATAGACTCCATGAATAGAATCCCCAATCTTCTTCATTGAGTTGGGCATTGCTTTGTGGGTAACTCCCATGTTCTCCTACCTGCAGTAGATAAAAATCTTTCTCCACTTCTTCATTTTTGATGGAGTCTGTTTTATGCACATCCACTAAGATGTGAACAGTACTTGGCTACAAATCTCAGCCTGTAAGTACATCAGTACCCCATGGAGATTTGCAATGGATAATGTATTAAAATGTCAATGCCTTTTGTTTGATTGGCTATTTTGATTTGCTTTGGGGAAGGATCTGGTTTTCTTCAGTTTTTAGTTGAGCATGCTCAGTAAAGGGTTTTGCCAGGCATGGTGGCACATGCCTTTAATCCCAGCACTTGGGAGGCAGAAGTGGTAGATCTCTGTGAGTTCGAGGCCAGCCTGGTCTATGTAGTGAGTTCCAGGTCAGCTGGGGCTACAGGGAGACCCTGTCTCAAAAAGACCCCCCGCCAAAAAAAAAGTTTCAGTAAAGGGGTTTCATCAACATCTTCATATATGAATGTCATTATGCATCATTCTCCTTTGCCCCATCCCCTCCTCTGTTCTGTAGGACTGTCCTCTGACAGACAGAGGATGAACAGATGCCATCTTCCCAAGCTTGGTTGTGCCCACTTACCTGGGATCATCACTGCTAAACTTGTTGACTGATACATGCAGCAAGGAAGGAGGGGCAGAGAGAGTCAGCTACACCTCCAAACCTAATTGCACATGGCAGGGGGGAGATTGGTGGGGGTGGGGGAGTAGAGGCTAAGGAAATATAGACTGAGGAAGGCTAGGGAGACACTTGCCATTTTATGCAGGGTGGAGAAACCAACATCCATGCTTGGATGATGACTTTCCATTGCAGCCTTGGGGGGTGCACCCACACTCCTATAAATAAACCTTCACCCATTGCTCTGTAAACTCACTGGTTTCCCAAATTTCAGTTTGGTGAAATTATACCTTGATTTGTTGTTGGGACCAAAGTTAGGAGGGCTGGGCACTGTTCACCCTCCCCCAAGGCATTTTAGCTACACTCTCCAATGTGCTTTGTGCTGTGAGTAGTTTAGGGATACTTAGGAAACAGTTTAGCTTCTTGAAGACCATTTTCCCAACTGAAACTCTTATAAGGAATCAATAACTGTCCAAAATGGGATACACATAGTTAAATACGATTTTGAAAAAATGTATTTGCATTAAACCTAGGAAGGTTAAAACGAATTGTCTTGGTATAAAGGACATGTCTTGAATTGAAGTATCATTTTAAGTTGAATGCACTTGCTTTTTAAGATATTTGTAACTATTTAAACATTGTAGGAAAAATAACCAATATTAAATTAAGGTCAGCATGTACATAAGGTCACGTTTTCTTCTTTGTTACAGAGGGCATTCCTTTTTTTCCTTTGGAAAAAAGCTGTATTGAAAATGCCACTTGGTGATCCTGTGATTAAAGGTCATTGTGGGTGTATGCTAACTTCCATAAAACAGTCTTTTCCCAAATACACATCTTTAGAAGTAAAAAGACAGAAAAGACTGCCAAGACAGTGTCATTTCAGGCATAATCCTCTTACAGAGTTTTGATGTTATTTACAATTACATCAATACTCACAAAGGCCGCTGAGGGAATTCTTGTATGTCCCATGTGGACTGTGACCCCCATCTGTCAGAGCATCTTGAAAGTTGGGAATACATTTGTGAGTTCCCATGCCCAGCGCACATTTTCCATGTTACTTTCAGGCTGCAAGATGGCTAAGTCAGTAAGCACCATCTTACAACTAGGTAGCTGTGTGATCTGGAAAGGTGTCTATTTTCATACTGTACATGTGCTTGTCCTGTTCAGAAACAGTGTTAGATTGTCTCTCTGCAAGTAATCCTGGATTTGTATAAATACCACATTTGTACCATTCTACACATTGAACCACTCAGTGATGGACACTTTTTTTGAGATCGGGTCTCACTATGTGGACCTGGCTGGCCTGGAACTTGTTAGTAGATCAGACTGGGCTTGAACCCACAGAAATCCATCTACCTCTGTCTCCCAAGTGCTAGGATTAAACATGTATGCTAGCATGTCCAGCCTTTGGTTTGTTTCTTGAGGAAGGGTCTCATATAGCAGAGATCTTGACCTCAAAATCATTATGTAGTGGAGAATGACCTTGAAATTTTTTTCTCCTTTTTGAGAATTCCATACATGGCTACTTTATCTAGTCATTTCCACCTCTCCCTCTCTCCCCTCCAACTCTTCCCATCCCCACTCAAATTTTCAATCTCTTTGATTATTGTTACATATTAATATATGTAATCTGAGTGCATTTGGTGGTGCTTCTGTGTACCTGTCTTTAGGGCTGTCGATTTGGGACTGGATAACCTATTAGGGAGCTGGTCCCTGGAGAAACACTCTCCTTCCTGCAGTATCCATTGATTGTCTGTAGGTCTTCATGAAGAGGTGGGACCTTGTGAAATTTTCCCCATCCATGTTGGCATGGTCATATCTGGACACTATGTAGCAGTAGGCTTCCTGATTCTTCTTATGTTCTTTCTGACTCCTCTTCCTTGATGTTCCCGGACTCCACCATCAATAAATTGGCTTTATTCCAGAGATGCACGGATGGGACCTTGAACTTCTGATCCTTTGATCCACCTCAATAGTGCTATGCTAGGGTTATAGGCATGTGCCACCATGCCCCATTAGTTTATGTTGATTGGGGTATTGAATCCAGGGCTTCCTGCATTCTAGGCAAGCATTCTATCAATTAAGCCACCTTTTCAGTTACTCAATTACATACACTTAAGAGACAATTTTCTTCAAATTTTACATGTGAAAATAAAGGGAAGAGTACCTGGTGAAAATTCCAAAAAATAACAACTTCTCTACCGACTCCTTAAAATTACTGCCAGACATGGTGGCACTTAGCCTATGATCCCAGTACTCAGTAGGTTGAGGCAGGACGATTACAAGTTTGAGGAGTTCATAGCAAGACTCTGTCACTGAAAGGAAAAAGGCTTGGCACAGTGCCCTTCTTTGCCCTCAGGTACCGAACGAGAGTTTGTTTCTCCCAGGGGCCATGATCCCAAGGTGTCTCAGAGTTACAAAACTGCTGTGATCCTGTCCCGTAAAGCCCACCTAGGAGGTACACAACAGATCCGCGAGTCCCCAGGGCCACCTGCTGACCACCCAAGCTCTGAGCCAGGTGCTTTACCTTCACTGCCTAAAGAGTGCGTTAAGGGATCTACTCCTGTCACTCAAGTCTCGCGGGGTGGGCGTAGCCAATCAGGGCCTCCGTGCGCCGTCCAATCAGGAGCCTTAGCGGGCGGCAGGGGGTGGGTTCCTTCTGGCCGCCATGCTTCGGGGTTTGGTCCACCGCTGTGGGTGCTGTGCTGTGATCCCTGCTGCGGGGAGCCGCAGACAGCACTAGCGAGCCTGGAAGAGCCGCGGTGAGCGTGGGGCCGGCTGTGTCCAGACGAGAGCAGCAGCCTCTGGAGCCGCCGGAGCGGGCTGTGCTGGGTCCTCCCGGGGCGGGGCGGGGCGGGAGGGACGGCGCGGGACTAGTCATCCGGAGCGACCCAGCCTGCGACCTGGGCCCGGCACGGGGCCGGTGTTGCCGGGCGCTTCCCACCGCTGCCACCGCTGCGCCGACGGCGGGGAGCAGGAGGCTCCGCCCTGCGCCTGGGAACGCTGGACTGTGCGTGACGTCACGAGCCGGTGCTGGCGCACAGGGCCTGTTCTGGTGTCGCACTGCAAAGGCAGGCTTAAAGTAAGGTTGCCCCGGTGCTGTGTTGTCTTCCAGAAGTTCTGAACTTTGTATCTCACATTTAGGTCTATGATACATCTGCGTTAATTTTGTGAATTTTGTGGTCTATGTCTAGTGAGCTTCTTTGAAGGTTTCCCAGGTGTTCCAGAAGCAGTTCTCCTTGAATTGTTTAGCTCCTTTGTCAAAGATCCATTGACAACATTTTTGACTTTATTTCTGGGTTTTTGTTTTTTTCTCTTTGGATCTGTTTATTCTTTCCCAACTAGTGTATTTGTGTCTTGAGTATTGTAATTTGACGGGGAGTGTGAAAGTCAGATAGTGTGTGCGATTTTTTCGTGTTGTGTTCATCTTTCTGTTTTTCTTTTTTCCCATTTCCGTGTGTGTGTGTGTGTGTGTGTGTGTGTGTGTGTGTGTGTGTTTTGAGGTCGGGTCTCATGTAAGAAATGATGAATTTGAACTCCTGATCCTCCTGCCTCTATCTCCAAAGTGCTGGAATTAACAGACATGAGCCATGACACCTAGATGAAGTGCCTCTTTTTTTTGAGACAGGGTCCCTGTAGCCCCAGCTGCCTTGAAACTTGCTATGTAGACCAGGCTGGCCTTGGTCTGACAGCTGTTTCTGTCTCCTGAAAGCTGGGATGAAAGGCGTGTGCCACCATGCCCAACTAAAGTTCCTTTTTGTATCATAAAACTTTTAACGAATTTGTATTTTAAGTTTCATACACGTATAAAGTGCTTTCTGATTATTTTACCCCCCCTTCCCAGTCTCTTGAATCTTCCTCTGACCCCTATTAATCATGTCTCCCCACAGTTCCTGTTCAAACATCATGTCTCCTTTTTTTTTGTTTTGGTGTGAGACTCACTGAGTCTAACCAGGATCATCTATGTGACCATGGGTTTGAAATTACTCATTGGAGCTTGGTGGACACCTCAGTGGACACACAGCTACAGACAATGACTTCCTCCTCCAGGATCCATCAGTAATCAATACTCAAGGAGGAGTAGGACACTGTGGTCCCCTCCCTGATCCATGATTGATTGTTGATGGGCCCAATCTTGTGTAGGCCCATCACAAACAGCCATAGCTACTGTGAGATCCTGACTGCACTGGTGGTACTGTGCCCAGGAGCCATCATTTTACAGCTCTTTGCCCTATCCTCTGGCTCTTACATTCTTTCTATCCCCTCTTCTGCAATGACCTCTGAACCTTAGAGGTGATATAAGTGTGCTGTTTAAGACTGAGCACTCAGTCATCGCTTATTATCAGCACTGAGCAGCCACACAGCCTACATTCACTGTCGTGCATGGCAGAGAGAGGCTTCTCTAAGGCTGGAACAGCATTTGTCTGTGGGTATAAACACAAATATTTAGAAGGTTACTTGACCTCACAACAGTTAAAGAAAAGTCTTCACTCTTGGAGTAGTTTGACCAAGGCTGTGCCTGGTCTGCTCAGGGATAGTCTGGTTTCTCTCAGAGCTGTTCTTTCAGAACCATGTCTGGCTAGTCTGTTGTTCTATTTGTTCTTTGTTCTGCTGTGTTCCAGCAAAGGCTTTCCTCTCATATCAATGAACAGCATATCAAGCACTTCACTTGAAAGACATGAGCAATCTCTGAGAAACAATTTTACAAAGGAAGTTGTTTTTCTGACCCTACTGAATCTGAACAGCACACAAACCACAAACATGTCATCAACCTATGTCCATGTGTTATGCCACAGATGTTGTGGAGACATTGTTTTCAGCATCATCGTTTTTAGTGTTATTGCGATCACATCTCATGCACACATAAACATTGTTCTCACTCAGGCATAATTGAGTCACAAATAGGCAACATGGTCTAAGATTAAAGCAGTGCATTCTGCTTAGCTTCTAAGAGTTAATTACATGGGGATTCCAAACCATTGTTAAACTGATTACATTCTTTTTGAGACAGGGTCTCCCTGTAGCCCAGATGGCCTGGAACTCACTATGTAGACCAGGCTGGCTTTGAACTCAGAGATTCACCTGCCTCTGCCTCCTGAGTGCTGGAATTGAAGATGTGTGTCACCATGCCTGGCTCATAGTTTTAAATGTTCTCAAAACATGATTAACTTGATTACAAAGTTATGTAAAATTTCAGTTTGTAAAGGCTTGTTATAAAGTCTTAGGTGGAAAATCATTCCCACATAGTTTAGCTAAACAACAGTAGTAAGTTCACCTTAGCCTAGAGGCTAAGACCTCAGCTATGAATTTAAAAAAATTATTATTTTTAATATTTTTAATGTGTATGAGTGTATTGCCTGCATGCCTGTAGTGCACTTGTGTTGTGCAGTGCCCACAGAGATCAGAAGAGGGTGTTGGATCCTCTGGAACTGGAGTTATAGATAGTTGTTAGATGCCATTTGGGTGCTGGGAACTGAACCCAGGTCCTCTGCTAGAGCATTCAGTGCTCTTAACCTCTGGGCCATCTCTCCAGCCCCTCAGCCTGGATTTTTGACTAGATTTGCAATCCCAAAGACTCCTTTTTGTAGAGCAGGCGTCAAATCCAATCAGAGCAGTTGGCTACCCCATAACAGTTGTGCCACTGTTATACAAGGGTCATCTTGCCTGGAAGGTTGGTATTGTAGATTATAGTGTTCACAGCCGAGCAGAACTCATAAGGTAGCATCTTACACCTGGCACTGGGGTGTTCTTTAGTAACTCTTAGCTTTCAGGAGCAGCATTATCCAGACATGCGGGGGATCTCCTTTTTAATTTTTACTTATTTTTTTTTTAACATATATAACCCAGCTATAGCGTTCCTGGGCACATATCCACAGGACTCCATATTCTACAGAAATACATGTCTAACCATAGTCCTTGTTTCTCTATTCATAATAGCTAGGAAGTGGTAGTGGCTAGTGGCCTACATGTCCATCAGCTGATGAACGGATAATGAAAATGTGGTTTATATACATAATGGAATTTTATTCAACTGTAGAAAAATGAAATTTGCACATTAATGAATTAAACTAGAAAAAAATCTGAGTGAGGTAACCCAGTCTCACAAAGATAAACACTGCATGTTCTCATATGGTGATCTAGCCTCAGCTCTTCAGATTTCTAGGTTTAACCTGGAGTACCCATAGAAGTAAGGAAACTGGAAAAGGGCCGTTGGGGGTGATGCCTTTAGGGAGTGAGAACAGCAGAATATAGAGGATATGAAAATAGAAGGGGAAGCTGGGTGTGGTGGCGCACACCTTTAGTCCCAGCACTCCGGAGGCAGAGGCAGGCGGATCTCTATGAGTTCAAGGCCAGCCTGGTCTACATAGTGAGTTCAGATCAGTTGTGGCTACAGGAAGACCCTGTCTTAAAAAGACCAAAACAAACAATGAAACAAAAAACAAAAAAAAAAAAAAAGGAAATATATGAGGAATTTTAAGGGTGCAGATTTAAGCAGGAATGGGGCCTGGGGAATGGGGGGTGGACAGGAGGAAGGGAGGGAGGAAGGGTTAACTAAAACTAAGGATGCATGAAAAAGCCGTACTACTTTGCAAACTAATTGAAGTTACTTTTGATAAGTTTTTTTTGTTGTTATAAAGATATAAAACATTTAAATTTCTTACTGAGAATTAAATTTCAAATTTCAGTGTTCTGAATAATTACTTGTTTTACTGTTTTTTATTTTCTTTTACACTTAGTGTGTAATACCATTACTATTCAGGCGCATACCATGGCTTGCATGTGGAGGCCAGAGGACACCTTATGGGAATTGGTTCTTTCCTTCCACTGTGTGTGTCCTAGGCAGCAAATTCAAGGTATCAAGTTTCTTTGCCTGTTGAGTTATCTCACCAGCCATTTTTGTTTTCTTGAGATGGTCTCACTCAGTAGCCCAGGCTGACCTGGAACTCATTAGGTATCCCAGGCTGGTCTTGAATTTGCAGCATCCCCCTGCCTGTTTCCCAAGTGCCGGGAGTACAGGGATGTGCCACCAGGCCTGTCTAATTTTACTGTTTTCAGTGACCTTCTACATTTAAAACTGACAGTGCGTGCTGTTGATTTTTTGATACAATTTTGTAAAGGTCGCAGGATCACTTCAGTTTTCAGAATGATTTTATTTTCAGCTCTTAAAATTTATTTTAGTTTTTTTCTTTTGATCTTTTTGAGACAGGGTCTCGCTGTAGCCCCAGCTGGCCTGGAACTCTCTATGTAGATCAGGCTGGCCTCGATTTTACAGAGATCTGTCTGCCTCTGCCTCCGGAGTGCTGGGACTAAAGGCGTGTGACAATGGGAATCTCTCTGATGGCTAAGGATGTTGAACACTTTGAAAACTATTGGCTATTTGTTTTGTTTTAAGAACTGTTGCCAGGCGTGGTGGCGCATGCCTTTAATCCCAACACTTGGGAGGCAGAGGCAGGCCAGCTGGGGCTACAGGGAGACCCTGTCTCAAAAATACCGCCCCCCAAACTGTTTGGTTCATTGACCCATGTATTGTGTGTGTGTGTGTGTGTGCAATTTTCCAGTTTTTTGTATGTTGTAGTTATTAATGTCCTGACTAAAGTGTTGCTGCAAAGGTTTTTCCCGCGTTCTGTAGGCTGGCATTCATGCTGATGTAGTTTCTTTTGCTGGGCAGAAGCCTTTTCATTTCTCCGGTTCCCATTTGTCAAGTCTGCCAGGGCCTATCTGTCTTCTGGTTTGTAATCCCTGGCCCCTTTGGTTTGTTTTCCTTCACATTAGCCCTTCTGGCGCTTGTCTTCTCTTAAAGTTCTAGAAGTTCTGCACTTTGTGTTTCATGTTTAGGTTCATGTTGTATAGTTTATAAATGATGTAAGTTAGGTCCTGTAGAAAGGACTGACATGAATTACCCTTCAAGAGAATTATTAGCATCAAGGTATAGCCATCTACAAGGGGTACTAAATGGAGACCAAGACCCTTCAGTTCTGGGGAATCAAAGGGTGTTTCTAACTCTTTTTTTTTTTTTTTTAAAGGCATGTGTCACCATGCCCTGCTTAAAACATTTTTAATATTTTAAAATTTTTATTATTTGTGTGTGTGTGTGTATGTGCGTGTATGTGTGTATGTGTCTCTGTGTGTGTCTACATATATATGTGTCAGAGCATAACTTGCTGGAGTTGGTTCTCTACTCCCTTGTGGTCCCAGGGATCTGACTCTGGTCATCAGGCTTGGCAGCAGGTGCACCATCCTATTTCTAAGTCTTACAGGTTTCCAGGGGGTGGGGAAAGTTTCCTTACCATGTGACCTGGCCTACTTGCCTGGAGTCTTGAAGTAAATTATAACTCAAAGTAGAGCTGGGACTGGGCTTGCTTCCAGCTGCTTGGGGAGTGGTGGAGCTGAAGGGCTGCAGCAGATTTTGCTTATCAGTTCTCCTGAGAGTCGGGGGGTGAGGTGATTTTGGGGAGTGAGCAGAAGCTAGAGGTTCTGTAGCCCGAGAGTTTAGGGTTCACTTTGGGTTAATTTTGTGAAAGTGTAAAAGTCTCTGTCTGACTTCCTTCTTTGCATGTAGGGTCACAGGTGGCCCCGTAGCATCTGTAAGAGCACTGTACTTTCTTCACTGAATCTTTTGCTCCTTTGTCAACAGATTGTCTCTATTTTTGTGGTTTGTTTCTGGGTTTTCTGTTCTGCCGATCTGTTTGTTCTTTCTGAAATGTGAGTGCACTCTAATGATTATTGTGGTTTCATGGGAAGTCGTAAAGTCAGGCAATGTAGCTGTGCATGTTGTTCCTTCAGAATCGTGGTCAATATTCTGCTTTTCTTTTTCTCTTACATATAATCTTTAGCATCAGTTTTGGTTACAACATAAGCTGTAGGATTTTTATTAGGATTGTATTGAGTACGTAGTGCAAATTGAAGATAATTGACATTTTATCATAATATTGAGGATTCTTATTCACCATGATCATGGAATAGCTTCCATTTTTTGTTATCTATTTGCTTTTTTTCATTAGAAATAATATAGTTTTTTTTTTGGTCTTTTTGAGGCAGAGTCTCCCTGTAGCCCCAGCTGGCCTGGAGCTTGCTATGTAGACCAGTCTGGCCTTGAACTTGCAGAGATCTGAACTCACAGAGATCCACATGCTGGGATTAAAGGCATGTGTCACCATGCCCAGCCTTATTATTTTTATTTTATGTGTATGAGTGTATTACGTACATGTATGTAAGTAAGTGTTGTGCAATGCCCGAGGAGGTCAGAAAAGTGCATCAGATTCCTTTGGAACTGGAGTTATAGATGGTTCTTAGCTGCCATGTGGGTGCTGGGATTCACAGCCCGGTCCTCTGCAAGAGCAGCCAATGATGTTAACCACTGAGCCATCAATAACTGTGTTATTTTGAAAATACAGTTGAATTGTGGGGTCCTAGCTCCAAAACTTTAGATATAAGTATAGCTCTCATCTCTCATCAAAGAAGCTTCTTTTTGTGACAGATGGAGACTATTACAGAGATCCACAACTGGTCAGAATGCAGAGAATAACTGATGTTTGGGTGCCCAGCCACAGTTGATACATCTACAGTGCAACCCAAGGCTCATGGAACACGTGGAAGAGGGGCAGAAAGATTATAAGAGCCAGAGGACCAGGACGGACACCTGCTGCTAGATAATGTCTTGCAGACATGACAGGGAAGATACACCCATGAACTCCCAGCAATATGAATGTCTAAACAAGACCTGCGTGAAACCACCAGCTGACATGCAAATGTGGATGGGGAAATTTCTAGATGAAAAGCTACAGGCGTTCAGTGGCTGCTGACAGCAGGACAGGTAGTTTCTCTGGGGATGAGCTCCATGGTAGGTTATCCTGGCCCAAGTAGTCAGCCCTAAAGATAAGTACGTGTAAGCACCACTAAGTACACCCATAGGTGGTACATGTGTTAGAATACTGAGGACGAGGTTGCAAAACAGAGGGACGGGGGAGTGGGGTGAGACGCTGTGTGTGAGGGCAGTAGAAATGATGGAAATATAGTACTCAGAAATTTAAAAAATACAGCTGAAGATTTGATTTGCTGAGGATTTTATGCATCTGTCAGTCTGTAGGTTTGTGTATGTGCGGGTGTGCATGTGTGCATGTACATAGCTAGTTTTTGTAGTAGGATAGTGGGTTGATAGTTTAAATTAGGAAGTATGTGCTCTTCTGAAAACATTGTAACAAATTGGTGTAAGTTCTTAACTTCGCTGGAAGAGCTGGCCCTGGGGCCGTGGGGTCTGCTTGACCCTTTTCTTCTTTCCTTCCTCTTCCTTTTTCTCTTTCTTCCTGGACTTTTCCCCATCCCATTTTACTTCTTGATTTTATCATTGTATTACTCGGTTTTCATTTCATTGAGACATTGCATAATCTTCATAAATAATACCCTGAGCTGTATGACAGGAATACAGTGAGAAAATAGGTGGATAGCGCATAGTCACTGGCCTCCAGAGGAGCTCAGGGAAAGACCTTCCCCCATGATGCAAATGAAGGCCAGGGAAGTGCTGGGAACAGTAAAAATTCAGAGCTGACCAACTCAGAACCTCAAATTGGAAACTTTTACCTTGCATGGCCTCTTTCCAGCTTGGGCTTGAGCCCTAGGAAGCAGCCTCAGGTAGGACCTGTCCTCTGAGCCCAGGGGCTTCAGCAGAGCTTGAGTCATGGCTCTTAGGTCAGGATTTGGCCAGCAGTGTGATACAGACGGTTACATATGGAAGTATCAGTAGATGAGAAACTGTAGATTCCTATTGAGAGGAGACAGAAAGTTCCAGTAGCCCAGGACATATTTAGTCTCAGAGATCAGTCCAGTATGAGTGTGAGCCGGTGGGTGGAGACAGACCTGGAGGTTGTGCGGGTGGAAAGTCAGGGAACACATTCAGTGGGGGTCCAGGTCCCGGATATTGCTGCTTTGCTGGGTGATGGCTAATCTTGATTGGATCTGTAATCAATTAAGAGACGTGTCTTTGGGCAGGTCTGCCAGGTGATTTCAGGAAGGACTAACTGAGGAGAGAAGACTCTTCCCCCAGCGTGGGTGGCGCTTTCAGAAGTGGCCGGCATAGAAAGAAGACAAAGGCAGAAGCAGTGCTGCCTCCCTGCCCGCCTTCACTTCTTGAGGGTGAGTCCCTGTCCCATTGCTGCCGCAGCCGCTACCACCGCCGCTGCCACCACCGCCGTCCTTCAGCCGTCCTTCACTGACGTCGGAACTCAGCTTCTTGGGCCTCCAGTGTGGACTGAACATCAGAGGCTGTCGGTGAATCTTCCAGGCCTTCTCCACCCGATTGAGAGCTGAGTCTCCAGCCTTGTGGACTGAGCAACTACCAGGTCATCAGCCTCTCCAGCATGGAGACAGCCATTGTTGGACTATCTAGGCCGGACCAGGTAATGGCTTAATAAATAATAAATCTCCTTGTAATATGTATTCATCCTATCAGTTTATTTCTCTAGAGAACTCTGACTAGCACAGCTGGCCACCTGTGTGCACACACCTTACAACATTATTTTTAAATTGCCATTCTCTATTTTAGAGTCTACATACTTTACTACTGCAAAAATGCCTTTTCTATTTTCTTCACCATTGAAGGCATAAAATAATGACTTCAGAGTAATGTGCTTATACCATACCATACCAACAAGTAATGCTATGGGAAATTTTAGGGAGTCCTGCCAGAATTGCTACACATGACCAGGGAAACTGGGGTCCCTTCTTGGAGTTCTTATTCTCATAAATAAAACAAATTAAGAATGGCTTCAAAAGAAAACTAGAGAACAATTTTATGAGAGTTAAAAGAAAAATCTAAGGACAGGCGACCTATAAATTTTGGCAGCTGTCAAGAGAAAAGAGATGGATAACAGGAAGAGAAAAAGCCCTTTGAGTTCAGCTGGTGTGGTGCCCAGCCAACATGGCAGACAGCTGCATGGCAGACAGACAGCCACATGGGAGGAAAACTTCAGAAAAGAAAAGTCCAAAGTACCAGAAAAAGTGTACTTAGGTTCTGGCTAGCATCTGAACAAAAAGGATAGAAGAGAAGAAACAGGAAGAGTTACCAACAGAACCCCAAGGTAGATCTGTAGCAACTGCTCAGAGAGCCCTTTGTTCTTTGGGGAGTTTAAGTATTGATTTAGTCTTTCCTACATGCATATGTATTTATACTGTTAAGATATCTCTGTATATCTCTAGATGGAGTCTTCAAAGGATTTGTTCATTTCATCTAAGTTACTACATATGTGGTCAAGAAATTTGTCTTGTGAGTGTTGTTCATATCAAAGAATTTGTTAATTTCATATGTTACTAAATTTGAGACTGTAAGATTACGCACAGTATTTGTATTAGTTACTTTTCTGTTGCTGTGGTAGAAGCACACCATGACCAAGGGACCTTATAAAAGGAAGAGTTTATTAGCTTATGGTTCCAAAGGGGCAAGAGCCCATCATGGTGGGGAGGCATGGTGGCAGAGGTGGCTGGAGGAGGAGCAGAAGCTAAGTGCTCACATCTTCAAGCAGGCAAGGAAGCAGAGGTCTGGCAAGGTTTAAGAACTCTGTAAGCCCATCCCCTGTGATGTGCTTCCTCCAGCATGACCACACCTTCTAAGACCTCCCAAAACAGCGCCACCAACTGGGGACAAAAATGTCCAAATACTTGGAGCATATGGGGGACATTCTTATTCAAACCACCACAATATTCCTTTATGATTTTCATCATTTGAATGTGAAATTTCCCTATAAGTGCATGTGTATGAACACACGATCTCCAACTGGTGGTGGTTAAATTGTATGGTAACTGACATTTCTCAGAGATGATGTATCTTAAATAATTTTTTTTTCTGTTCTTGTGTTACATATTTGTATTTCTCTGCATTATTTGTGATTTTTTTTGGATGTAGAGTGAGTGTTTGGGTTGGTGATATGGCTGAGCAGATAAAGGCACCTGCCCCTATGATGACCTCAGTTTGATTCCTGAGGCACACATGGAAGGAGCTGACTGACTCTTGAAAGTTGTTTTCTGACCGCTGGTCATACACACACACACACACACACACACACACACACACACACACACAGCATATTATAATGTAGTACCTCAGGAAATAAATTTTCTCCAGGGCTTGCTGTGCCTGTTTGTTATAAGGTATAGTTTGCCATATGTTTAATAATATTCCCAAAGTATTTGTTCTAGAGAACCTATTACTTGTATGTATTTACTGAACTCCATGTTTCTTTACTTGGTTACCAGATACTATTTTCATAGATTTCTTTGATTATTTGGAGTTGAAAACTATGGAGGAAAAAGCTTAAACTTTTTGAGCATTAATTTTCAAGGATAGACAGCGTCTTGAGTGTCAATATGAGCTCTGTTGTGTATATTGGATGGTAGGGTGTTCTTTTAAGAAGTAGATCCACTGCAGGAAAGAGTTGGGGTAGGGCTGCAGCACATCCTGCTCTTTGGGCTCCGTAATGAGAAGACTGGACCTGTCTTGCTGTTTCTGTGCAAATTGCTCAGTGTTTTTGCTAGAACTTCTGTGTCATGGAAGAAATGCTACACAGTTCTGCGGGCCTACTGTCTAATGAGAACAGGTTTGCAATCCTGTCATCTTCACTTGTTCTTTTATACACAAATATGGCATGTTTTAGGATTATGTGAGCTTTGAGGAGCTGGCTGTGAACTTCACGCAGGAAGAGTGGGATTTGCTGGATCCTTCTCAGAAGACTCTCTATGGAGATGTGATGCTGGAAACTTGTAGGAACTTCACTGCTATAGGTAGGAATGTCTTTTTTTTTTTTGTTTTTTGTTTTTTGGTCTTTTAAAGACAGGGTCTCCCTGTAGTCCCAGCTGGCCTGGTACTTGCTATGTAGACCAGGCTGGCCTGGCCTTGAACTCACAGAGATCTGTCTGCCTCTGCCTCCCAAGTGTTGGGACTAAAGGCATGCGCCACCAAAGCCCGGCTAAGAATATCATTTTACCTTCACGTAATACATTAGGGAACAAGTGTATTCCTTGGCTAACGATGGTCTTTGTGATTTGGATGTGGAGGGAAAGAATATGATGAATAAATTAGTTGTTGTTACAATGCACATTGAAGCTACAAACATTTTTCAGGAATTTCTAATAATTTGTCATAAAATTTCTGGGACTCCATTTTAGGTTATGAATGGGAAGATCAGACTGTTGAAGACCATTGTGAAAATCCTGAAATAAATCTAAGGTAATTTGCATGCACAAGTGGAATCAAATATCTCTTGCAGAAATAAAAAACATTTTTTTGATTTATTTTTATTTTTGTGTATGAATGTTTTGCCTGCATGTGAGTAAGTAAACCATGTGTGTGCAATGCCTGCAAAGGACAAAAGAGGGAGTTGGATCTCCTGGAACTGGAGTTAGCCAGATGATTGTTGGCCACCATGTAGGTGTTGAGAACCTCTGCATTAGCCATCAGTGCTCTTACCCTGTGCGCCATCTCTCCAGCCCGCCTTAAAGAAATTTTAATGTACCATGAAAATTTATGAACAAAGCTAAGAAATCAAATAAGAACAATTTAAAATTTACTCATCAGTAGAAACTTTTCACCAAAAATTTATATTTCAGTGTAAGCTTCAATCTTCAAGTAGCCTTTCACCTGGAAGTTGTACAGGACCTTGTGTTAGTGAATGTCACTGCTTTGATCATGGCTCTGTGGGGGCCATATTCTAGAACTATCAGTCCATTTAGTTTCAGACTATTCTTGTATGGCAGATATGCCTGATTTTGGTAGCATGTTGTTCGAGGCAGTCTAATAAGCAAGCACAGTAATAATTCTAATAAGCAAAAATAGGAGAGCAACTGTTACTAATTTGCTGGCCATTTTTCACAGTAGTTGATTTTGCAGATTCTCTCTGATAGTGGAGAAGGCAGTCATGATGGGGCAACCTTGCCCCATATAGCAGATCTCAATGTGAGCAGCAGTGTGTGCGATGACATTTTTATGTGTCATTCATCCTTTAATAGGCATGTCACATCTCATTCTGGAAAAACACCACACAAGCATGAAGAACATGAAAAGAAGCCATGTAACTTTAATTCTCTCACAAATATTGAAGCAAACATGGGAACCCACACTGCGAATGGACCTTCTCAATGTGAGGTATGCTTAAAATCCTATGGACTGTATCACCTGACCTACAACGGCGAGCACATCTATGAATATAAAGACTGTGGAGGGAGTCCAACTGTAGGAAAACGTTATGAATGTAATCAGTGTGGTAAAACTCTGAGTTCTTTCAATTCCCTTCAAAGACATCAGAAAATTCATGTGGAAGGAAGACCCTATGAGTGTCAACAGTGTGGCAAAGCCTTTCGGTATCTCAGTGCCCTGCAGTCACATGAAAGAATTCATACTGGAGAAAAACCCTACGAATGTAAACATTGTGGTACAGCGTTTAGCAGGCTTACCCACCTGCGATTACATGAAAAGGTTCATACTGGAGAGAAACACTATGAATGTAAACAATGTGGTATAGTCCTCAGATCTCAGAGTTCCTATCATAGACATAAAATAATTCATGGAGAAACATTCTATGACTGTAAACAGTGTGGGAAGTCCTTCATTTACCCCTCTTTACTTCAAATGCATGAAAGAACGCACACTGGCGAAAAACCCTTTGAATGTAAACACTGTGGTAAAGCCTTTAGATATCACTCTTCCATACGATTACATGAAAGAACTCACACAGGAGAAAGACCCTATGAATGTCAACACTGTGATAAAGCCTTTACGCGTCAGAGTTACCTTCAATTTCATGAAAGAAGCCACACTGGAGAGAAACCCTATGAATGTAAAGAATGTGGTAAAGCTTTTAGACATCACTCCTATCTTCGATTACACGAAAGAAGACATACTGGGGAGAAGCCTTATCAGTGTGTGCAGTGTGGTAGAGCTTTCAGCCGTCACAGTTCCTATAAGAGACATCAGTCTGTTCATGCTGTGGAAAACCCCTATGAATGTCAAGACTATCTACTTCCTTTATCCCCGTTTCCTTCAGATGCATGAAAGAACTTACGCTGGCAACAACCCAATGGATGTGAACAGTGTAGTTAGAACATTTATTCCTGTTCATATAAAACATATGTAAGAACTCAAAATAATGGTAAACCTTTATGTAAACAATGTGATATAGCCTGCATAGGGATTACAGAACCCCACCAGCTGGAAGCAGTTACCAAAGATACCTCCTTCCTATTAAAAATTATGGAGATCATGTATCTGGGGGAAATGATGCAGGAGGAGATAGGGTCAGAAAAGAGTGACTGAGCAATGACAATTTGATTGTGGGACCCAAAAACCAAGAAAGCCCATCACTTGGACTCCTGTGAACCATCTTGAGGTCATATAAACTCTTCCAGCAACCACAGAAAATCGTCCTCTACAATCACCAAAAGGTAGGTTTACTTTACCTATCTTTTAGGTTTAATGAACTTTTTCTTTCCATTTCTAATGAAAACCCACGGATCCATTTTGGGTTCTTGAGATGCATGCTCAAGGCCTCTCCTGTTCTGTGGCGTGTACTCTGTGGTTATTCTCACTTTTAATAAATCTGCACTCTTAGTGTTACTTCCGTGTGTCTTACTCATTTCTTTGAGGCAGAAAGAATGTACACATCATATCCCGGGACACCCATAAGATCTCCTCTGGCAACAGAAAGGTGTCTGTAGTTACCTTGTGGGCACCGATTTTAAAAGGTTGGGGACTTGTAACATCAAGTGGATGTAAATGGAAGGACCTCGATGAGGCCGGGAACATTGTACTTCTAGATTGTAGTGGGCTTTTTAAGATTTATTTTTATTTCATGTTATGGGTGTTTTGTGTGCATTCTATGTATGTGCAGCACATGTGTGCCTAGTGTCTATGGAGGCCAGAAAAGGATGTTGGATCCCCTGAAACTATAGTTACAGATGGTTGGGAGCTGCCATGTGCATACTGGGAACTGAACTCAAGTCCTCTGCAAGAGCAGTGAGTGCTCTTTACTGAGCCATCGTTCCAGCTCCTGTGGGCTTATTTTTCAAATGTATTTTTAATTTATTGTTCGAGAGTTTCATATATGTTTACATTTCTCTGGAATGACTCCTATTGGCCCCACCCCCTTCTCCAAATATGTATTAGGCTGGCCTTGAATTCAGAGATCCACCTGCCTCTGCCTCCTGCAAACATGTATTCTTTTTTCCCTCCCTCCCTCCCTCCCTCCTTTTTTCCTTTCTTTTTTTTTGAGACAAGGTCTCACTATGTAGCCCTGTCTGGCCTGGAACTCACTGTTTAGGGAGGCTTGCCTCCCACTACACAAATAGTCTCCTACTCTCCCTTCTAACTGCTGGGATTAAAGGCCTGTCACCACACCAGCAGTGTGAGTCCAAATAGTGATGGGTGGGTTTATTTTTCCTGGCCCATAATACCCAACCCAAAGTAACAAAGGCATCCCTCTTCCCACACCTTGCAGTATTGTCATCTCTGCCCTTTCCATAGGAGATTAATTCCACGTGGTCTAGGAAAATAGCAAGGACGTTTCCTGAAGGAAATACTAAACAAGATAATGCTGATTCCCCTCAGGACCCAGCTTCCCCACTCATGTATGAGCAGATTCAAGCTTCACCAAGACCCTAGAGGTAAGGTGCACATTGTGACCCATGTGTTCCTAAAGAACTTGATGTTTTTGATTTATACAAATAGACGGTATTTGAGTGTGTGTGGGTATGGGCCTTGTTGGTGTGTTATAATGGTGGAAGAAACAAGAGTAGATTGGACTGAATTCATCAGTGTGGGAACATTGAGCAAAAATCCTGGGTTTACCGCTGCAGATTGTGCATTAAAAAAATACAGTTTATTTGATTTGTTGGCTGTATTCTGGGTCAAAAGATGGTCTATTACAAATGAACTAAAGATGCCTGATATCTCATGGTTTAATATTGGCAAACAATCAACAGGCTCAAGAAATTGGAATGCTGGTTTGGATTTGCCATGTAAAGCCTGTTCATTCTCAACATTAGGGTCTAGAATATATGCCTTTCACTAATAGTACAAATTTAGAACCTGGCTGTTCTTATGGAGGACCCACATTTGGTTCCCAGCACCCACATGGCAACTAACAACCATTTGTAACTCCAGTTCCAGGGAAGCTACTCTTCTGACCACTGTGGGCATTACATGGCACAGGTGCACTTACATGTAGGAAATACACTCATATACATAAAAGTTTAAAAATGTATTTAAACCTGACAACCTGAGCTCTGATTCCAGGACCCACAGAATGGAAGCAGAGAAATGATTCCCACAAGTTGTCCTCTGACCTCCACAGATGTGCTGTGGCAGGTGTGCACCTACACATAATAAATAAATAAATAAATAAATAAATAAATAAATAAATAAGGAAATAAATTTGTCAGAGGCACAACAGCATACATGGAGAGCTCACTTGCCCATCTCTGCGTGCCACGACTTACAGTGGTAGATGGGGCTGTTCAGTTTGAAAGCATGAATTCAGTGGGTTGAATGGGATGCTAGAGTAGCAAGGTCAGGTGGAAGCAGTAAACTGCAAAGGGCAAAGCGAGCCTGCTTACTGTCATGGACAAGATAGGCAAGCACTGTTCACAGTGTTGGGCTCATGTAGGACTAAGGGGCAGATGCATCTCTCAAACTAGTTCTAGAAATGAAATAGGAGGCCCACTAAGGTTTTGTTTGGCTTGTATCAGTAGTAAAATTTCAGAGTGAAGGAACTGCAGTAAACCTTGATTCATAGCAACAACCTTAGCCTCACAACTGACACTCAGACATGGATAGATGATCTCAGAATTCAAGTGAGGCAGGAGGCCAGGTCCTCTTGAGGAAGATCTTGCTACATTACTGAAGTTTTACTGTTAATCTTTTTGAAAATTCAATATTTTTATTTATGTGTATGTGTGTATATGTATGTGCACGTGAGTTCCAGGCCAACTGGGGTGATAGGGAGACCCTGTCTCAAAAACCAAACCAAATCAATACAACAACAACCACAAAAACCGCAGCAACAAAAACTAAAACCAAAAAACCAAAAGAAGACACTGGATCCACTGGAGTCAGAGTTACAGTGGGTTGTGAGCCACCTGATTTGGGTGCTGGGGACCAAACTTGGGGCTTTGGAAGAAGAATAAGCATTCTTAAATTCTGAGCCATTCCTTAAATCCTTCACCAGGGAGAACCTTCTGTCTACCTGGGTAACTGTTCATTGTGGAATAGAACATAATCAGAACTCTCAGGGTCTGTTGGACACTGATTGAATTTGATGATTATGGGAGATCCTAGCCCATGTTGTGGCCCTGTAGTTGAAGTAGTGCTTATGGAGAGCAGATGGTCAATTTTGCCCAACATGCAATTCACAGTGGGTCTGCTGGGTCCCATTACTCATTCTCCAGGCACAGAATTCATAATTGGAATAATTATACTTTGGAGTTGGCACAATCCTATGTATTCCCTGACCTGTGGGATGAGGGCTATGATGATTGGACAGGCCAAGTGGAAGCTGTTAGAGCTGGCATTACGAGGGTAGACGGGGAGTGAAAAACAAGCGTGTGTTTAGGGAGACTATGCATGTTACTGCCACAGTCAAGTACTCGAAGATGCAGGTGTGGGTGGTTTCCTCCATCTCTTTCTCTAATGGTATTGGATGGCCGGTGCAAAAGAGGGATGGATTTTGGAGAATAAGCTTAATCTATTAATCGTTACTATTTGTCTAGCTGCTGTAGCAGAGGTGGTTGTCTTTCTGGTGTACATTAGCCCTATCTCCCCCAGTACTCCCCCATACCAGTCCTTATGGTCCACCTGAAGTAATTTGCTTTCGGTTGTCAAGATGGGTAGTTAACTTTTGCTGTTTTACTCAGCTCCTCAGGCTCTGTTAGGATGCTTGGGATAACAGAATAACTAAGGTGTTCTGCCAGTCCATTACATTAATGATATGCTAGTTAGACAAACTGAGCAGCAGATACCACCCACTCTGCACATGATGGTAAAGCATTTGTATATCAGAACATGGAAAATAGATGCACCCAAAATTCAGGGACCTCTCCCTTGGAAAATTTTTCTGAGTCCAGTGTTTTTGGGTGTCACAGAGTCATTTCTTCTGATGTGAAGGATATTTGTTCTGCCTTGCTCCTCCAACCCTCAAGAAAGACTCATAGTTTTATTTGGGTGTGATATTCTGGCTCATATATCAGATCTCCTGACAAGCTGCTGCTTTGAAGGGGCCCATGAAGGGAGAATGCTCTGAGAGCTCTCTACTTTCCCTTGCATTCTGCTTGGTCACCTGGGCCTTCTGATCCAGCATACTCAGTAGTATTTGAAGTGTGAATGTCAGGCAAGGATGCTGTTCAGAGCCTTTGTGAGGTAAATCAGAGAGGAGACATTTTAAATCTTGGAATGTGGCCCTTCCATCCTCTGAGGGCACCTACTCTCCCTTTGAGAGACATCTCTTGTCCTGCCATTTGGCCTTAGTGGAAACTGAATACTTTGCAGGAGTTTACCACGTTATCATTCAATGTGCGCTGTTCATCTTGAGCTGGGTTTAACTAACCCACTAAGCTAAAAAAAGTTGGTATGCACAGCAGTAATCCATCATGTAATGAAAGTGGTATACATGTATACTTGTGCTGGTCCAGAAAGTAGAACTTAAGTTTCATGAAGAAGTGTCCCAAATGCCTATGGTTCCTACTCCTGTTACAGTCCCTTCTGTCTCCAGACGTGCACCTATGGCTCCTGGAGGTGTTCCTTATGATTGGTTGGCTGAGGAAAAAAAGGTCAGGTCCTGGTTTACAGATGGTGTGTACACTGGGTACCACCCAGAAGTAGACAGCTGCAGCATTATCATGGCTTTCTTGTACAGTGCGGAAGGAATGCCATGAAGGGAAATCTTCACAGGGGACAGAACTTCAGGCAATGCACATGGTGTACACTGTGCTTAGAAAGAAGAATGACCAGATGTGAGATTGTACACAGGCTCATTATTTGTAATCATGTGTTTGGCTGGGTAGTCATGAACTTTTAAGTTGCATAATTGGAAAACTGATAGGAAAGGCATTTACGGAAGGATTTGTTGGATGTACACTCACAAACTGTCCTCTGAGCAGAGGTGAACTTTAATAATCAAGCAGGTAAGATGACCCGCTCTGCGATAGTAGTCAGCATTCTTCCCTGGCCATCACTTTCAAGGCCAATGAGTCCATGCCCACTCTTGTCAGGGTGGCAGAGTTGGAGGTTACTCATAGCTCAAGAACATGGACTTCCTTTCACCAGGGCCGACCTGGCTACGGTGCTCATGCGTGTTATGTATACCAACGGCAGAAGTCAACAATGAATCCCCAATATGGCACCATTCACCATGGTGACCAGGTGGTGGTCTTGTGGCAGTTCACAGTTCGTCTACAATGGATTACTCTGTCACGGAAGGTGTCTTTCCTGGAATAGATGTTACAGCATAGATTTGTCTTTTTTGTGCTTCCATCAGAACTACTGTCCATGGAATTACAAAATGCCTTATCCATTGTTGACATTCCACAAGGCATTGCTCATGACCAAGGAACTCATTTCACTGTCAAAGAAAAGCAGTAGTGCTTGTGCCCATGGAAGTCAATTGTATTGAAAGTTCTCCACCATCCTGTAGCAGCTGGCATAGAACTGTGGACTGGTCTCTTAGAGACACAGTTCCAGCTCCAACTAGGTGGCAGTAATCCTGAAGGTCTGGGTCAGGGTGTCCAGATGGCGTGATGCGCTCTGAGTTAGTGTCCTGTATATCATATACTTTCTCCTATAGCCAGGACCAAAGGTTGCAGGATTCAAGGGCAGAAGGGGCGTGGGACCACTCACCATCACCACTATAGTCCTGCTAGCAATGTGTTGTTTCCTATTCCCAAGAGCTTATATGCTTCATTGGCATAGACGTTAGTTTGCAGAGCAGGCGGTGCTTCTGTCAGGAAGTACAACAAACATCAAACATCCCATTCATATGGAAGTTTAAACTTCCTTTTGCACCATTGGGTTCTTGATGACCTTGAGTCGCCATATGTGTTAGCAAGAGTGATTGATCCAGAATACCAGGGAGAAATGAGGTCCTGCTCCACAGTCACAGGAAGGAGGAGTATGTCTGTGATCAGGAGATCCCTGAAGGAATCTCGGTGTTGCCATGTGCTGTGATTAAGTCCATCAGAAAGTACAACCCAGTCAAGGCAGGATGATCAGTGCCCAAGCCCTTCAGATGTAATGTGTGGTTCATCCCCTCAGAAATGAACCCAAGACTTGCAAGGTGTTTGTTGAGTCTGGAAGGGATATAACATGGATAAGAAAGGACGTAGTTATGAATAATATATGTGGTGTGTGATCCCTGATAGAAAAAGAATGGAAAATTACCAAATCTGTTTTGTGAATGATGTTTGCTCAGGACTTGAGAAACAACTCATTCTCTGCAGTTCTTGTCATGCAAGTATGAGGGCTTGTCCTATAATCGTTTCCTCCTAATTGAAACACTCCCTCCAGGAGGGAGGGGGAGAGAAAAGAGACTCAAGGAAGAACAAATGTTACATGTCTGGAAAAGCTGAAACTTAGAAGATTCTTGAAGACCCCTCTCCAGCTTTATAGAAGTAAACTAACTACTTGGAGAGGAGACTGATCAACTGAGTTGCAGAAAGATTTCTGGATCCCACTGGGTTGCCTGGAGGTTGAACAGAGAGCTCCAGGGACGCAGGTTGCATGAGTCATCACCCATGTTGGGTGGGCCTTTCAGTGATGCAGCTGCTTTTGAGTTATTCCTGCTCCTGTAAGTAACCCCCCACCCATACTGTTAGTAATCTCAATAAAAACTCATTGGTTGTGCTAGAGAGATGGCTCAAGAGCTCATATTCCTCTTGCAGAGGACCCAAGTTTGGTTCCTAGCACCCATGTCAGGCAGCTCACAACCACCTTCAACTCCAGCTCCTGGGGTTTCCAGTGCTGTCATCTGGTTTCCACAGGTACCTGGGCACATGTGATGCACACACATGCATGCACGCACATACACACAAATAATAAATCATAAAAAGAATGAAATATTAACTCATTTATTTAAAAAAAAACTCATTGGTTCATCGAGTTGGATTTTGATGCAGCCATTACATTGATTATTGTGTCTCCCTAGGGAAAGTCTCTCACAACACTTGGCATCTGCATAGGGACCTGAAAGGACCACAGATAAGTTTAGGAGGAGTGACTGTATGGTCTTGACTTTGGCTAGCAAGGCATGCAACTGATCTGACCATTTTGAAAGTGAGGCATCCACAGGGGGATTTCTGATAGTTGTCCTTCCCCACGTGGTGCGTGCTCTCATGATAGCAGCAGTTGCACGTTCCTGCTATGAATAGTGAGACATGTAACTAAGACTTGAGCCATCAGGATTTGGGATGTCCATGGGGGAAATTCCAGTGTGGCAGCCTTCCTCTGTGTGGTTTGGAGTGGCACAGCTGTTTGATGAGTGGGGTCTGCTGTGTGAATACAGAGATGTCCTGAGGACAGTGGACGGTTTAGTGCAAATTTTGCAGTCTGAGAATAGCACATAGGGGCGGAGAACATTGGCATGTGACTGGCGGTTACCTGGCTGCTGGTGAGGGTAATAAGACGTACCTTTGAGAAAGAAGTAGCTGCAGCAGGAACTTGTTTGTAAGGACGGATTACACCAAGAAAGGGAGGTGTGGCTAGCGTCCTCCATGTTAGCCTCTGATTTGGCAGGTAAATTAAATGAAAGGATGAGATAGAGGTGGTGGTTTGCCATTTCTTGTGGCTCAGAGCAGAAAGGAAAAGAGTAGAAGTTAGATCTGTTCTAGAAAGTCCTTGAGATCCAAGAACTTGGATGCCATGGGGAGAGTCAGAGAGTGAGGAGAGGGTGGTAAGAGACAGAAGCTACTCTGTGGATCTTTACTGGAGAAGGGAAAAGCCTGTGATTCGCATGCAGATGGGGCCTTAACAGTGGTTCAGTGCAAGGAGCCATGATCATGAGGGAATACTCGCACCTGAGCTGCTCGAATTGGGAAAGGCCTTTAAAGAAGCAATGAAAGAGGCCGTCACAGACTGGCTCATGAGCTGTGGGACATGGGGGCAGATGGGATCAATCTGCTGCTGTGAAGGCAGAAAAACTGAGTAACATAATTACCCATTCCTCTTTAGGACAAAGATATAACCTGAGACAACATGACAGAAACCAGTCTCAGATGGGATGGGTAGTTCAGCCATTAAGGCTGAACTTTGTCATCACCACCCTCACAAGGTCCAAGTGAATATCAGGGACTGGAAGACGATAGAGAAAAGGACAAGTGTTGCTGAGGGAACTGGGCTTGAAAGACGCAGTGTTTGGTTTCCAGTTCGCTGGACCGGATAAGACCTTGTTGACTGGAGAATTTTTTTTAAAGTCAATTCAACAAGACTGGTATGGAGCTCAGTGGCCTTGTTGTTGGGACATGATCTTTATGAAGCAGGAGAGGCTTTGGCAGACCTGAACTATCTAGACCAGCATATGAATCAAGTTTGTAAGCAGAGTAGATGAAAGAAGGACAAAGCTGGGGCTGGAGAGATGGCTCAGCAATTAAGAACACCGGTTGTTCTTGCAGAAGACCCAGGTTTGAATCCCAGCACCCACATAGCAGCTAACAATTGTCCTAACTCCAGTTCCAGGGGACCCGACAGCCACTTCTGTCCTCTGAGGGCATTGCACGACACGGGTGCAATTACCTACACGCAGGCAATACATGCGTACACATAAAATAAAATAAATAAAATATTTTTAAAAAGCTATCCTTAAAAAAAGAAAGAAAGCAGGACAAAGCCAAGGAAGGGGTTTGTCCTGGTCCCTTGAAGACAACGTGGCAAGATTTTGTGTCAAGCTGGAGTGTCTCAGGAGAAAACTGACAGAAAGCCAAATGCTATGCTAGGGAGCTTCTGGAGGGCTTTAAATCCCGAGCAACAGTTCATAGAAGGCATAAATGATCAAAGAGTAAATACAGATAAAGTCTGTGCTATTCCCGGTGGTGGGCAATCATGCTCTGAGTAAGTGGTGCACATTTCTCTCCAGCAGGAAAACATATTGGGAGTGGCAGTTGGCCTAGTGGAGGACTATCATAGCAGCACGGTGTGGCTGGGGGAGAGACCATGGCTGTGGCTGCATCTGCAGTGCCCTCCCAGCACCTGCCAGACCCTGGCCTCTCCGAGTAGCCAGAAGGCAGAGGAAGAGTCAGTGACAGTGTCTGCAGCTCAAATCCCGTCAGACCCGAGAAGCCACCTCAAACGACAGTGTTGTTAAAGTTCCTTCTGGAAGGGGACATATAAACAACATCCATTACTCCTTCCCTTGGCCCCAACAACAAAAAGAGGTATGAGTCCCCCCAAATGTACTCCATGAAACCAGTGAGTTTATTGGGCTTACAGAGCAGTGGCCAGAGATTACTTACAGGACTGTGGGTGCTCTCCCCACCCATGGCCGCACCAGAAAGTCTCCACCCAGCATCGATGATGGCTTCCTCATAGCTGCATATGATTCCCCAGCCTATATGATCTAGCCGTTCCCCCCAGGCCACAAGTAATTAGGGCTGAATTTCCCACCACAGGTTGGGAGGTGTGGCTAGACACCCAGGTGAGGGTCCCTTGACTCTCCCTGCCCTTGCTATGTGGGGATGTGAGTGGTCAACAAGCTGAGCTGCAATGATCTTTGGCAAGTGGGCACAGCTGAGCTCTGGAAGATGGCATCGGTCTGACTCAGGACAGTCCTGTACTTCAGGCAGGCACAAGAACACCCTTCCTTCTGGAACCTGGGTCGGGCTGTTAAGGAGTTTGAAACCACTGGGAAAAAGACCACCAGAACCAATTCAAATTTTATGTGGTCCAAGTTATTAGGGTTATAGCTGTCTGCGGTCAGTGCAGCCTTTGCTGCCCCATGTCGTTCATCCACAAATAAGTGGAAGGGTTTGGCAGTGTCAGGCAGTCCCAACGCTGGGGCTGACGTTAGAGCTCTTCTAAGCCTTTGAAAAGCTTCGTTTTCTTTTTCCTTCCAACTCAGAGGGCCTTTTCCTCCCAGGCTTTGGTATAATGGCTTAGCTATCTCAGCAAAGTTAGGTATCCAGAGCCTGCAATATCCAACTGTCCCCAGGAATGGTCTCGTTTGCTTTTTGTCCTGCGGCTCAGGAATGTTTAGGATGGCTTGAATTCTGCTCTGAGACAGGATTCTGCTGCCACCTTCTGTTTACAGATGAGGATGCGATCCCTCAGCTGCCTGCCAGCTGCTGCCATGATGGACTTTTAGCCCTCTGGAAACATAAGCCCAAATAAACTCCTCCTTATATAGGTTTCCTTGGTCAAGGTATTTTATCACAGCAACAGAAAATAACCAATACACCCAGATATGTGACATTCGTTTCCTTCCTGAGTGTCAGGAGCCTTCCCCTCTTTGAGGGAATGTTTCAATCCCCAGGAAACACTCCACCCATTTCTCCATCTTTTACATTTTTTCCAACCCCCTCCTCCACAGTGTTCTCCTCTGGCTATTCTTCCTCTAGGGAAGCAGGGTAGCACCCCCAATTGGACCCCCACCACCGGGTGGGGAGCCCGGACCCCCCTTCTCTGAGAAACCCCAGGCCTTTATTATTTTAGTGGAAACTGTTTTCTACACTTATCAGCCCACCTGGGATGACTGCAGGCAGCTCTTGGGAATTCTCTTCACAGCTGAGAGAAGGATCACATCCTGACTGAGGCCTGCAAACTGTAGTGGTCCCAGGGACACCTGGGGAGGACACAGATGCGAGGGGTCTTGCTCTCCACCTGACTGAACTGGGGCCCTAACATGGACCATGGCAAGGGGGCACTAGACGCCCATCACCAGGCCCTACTAACTGGAATGAGAGCAGCAGCCAGGAAACCAACTAATCTTTCAAAGATATCTGAAGTTATTCAGGGGGGCAGGAATCCTGGGTTTTTGGAGCATATCTGGGAAGCCTATTTGGAATTTACCCCCATTGACCCAGACACTGCAGATAACCAGCAAGCTATCAGTCTTGCCTTTGTGAATCAGTTGACCCCAGGCATTCTTAGAAAGCTACAGTGATTGGAAAGGTTTGCAGGAATGAGCAGGTCGTAGTCATTAGAGATAGTGCAGAAAACTTTAATAATAGAGATTCAGATGAAAGAAGGGAAAAGAGGCTGGCCAAGATGGTGATGGCAGCCTTCAGAGAGGAAGAAGGTGAAAATGGAAGGAATCCTAAATGGCTGAACCAGCCACGGACTAAGTTGGAAAAGGATCAGTGTGCATTTTGTAAAGAAAAAGGACACTGGAAGAACAACTGTCCAAAGCGTAAGCATGGGAAAGGGGAACAAGCACTCAGCCTAACAAACGCAGACTGACCAGGGCTCCCCAACATGAATACCAGTGAGCCCAGGTGAGCCTGTGGTGACAGGGAAAGTTGGGGGCCCAACTCTCTGGTTTCTAGTAGATACTGGTGCCGCACATTTAGTATTGACCAAACCTCTGGGCCCCCTTACCAAGAAGAGGACCGCCATCCAGGGGGCAATAGGGACTGGCACCTATGCCTGGACGACCACTAGAAATGTGAATCTCAAACAAAGTACTGTAACTCATTCTTGTTATGTCTGATTGCCCATACCCCTTGATTTGCATAGATTTGTTAAGAAAATTAGGTGCCACCATCACGTTTAGTGAAAATGAAGCTACCTTGCATCTAAAGAATCCACACCCAACTATCTTAGTAACCTGCCCCTTATCAGAAGAATATAAAATAGTAGAAAAGAACCCAGAAGAACTAAAAGCAAACAATCCCTCCTCACAGAGCTAATGCAAAAGGTCCCTGGAGTGTGGGCAGAAACCAATTCTCCTGGATTGGCTTCTCACAGGCCACCAATAATTGTCTAACTTCTAAACTCTGCCTCACCTGTAAGAATAAAGCAATACCGAATTCCAAGGGACACCAAGGTTGGCATCAGAAAGCATATTTGCTGCCTCAGGGATGCAGGAATCCTGGTCCCTTGCCATTCCCCTTGGAATACTCCGTTGCTCCCGGTGGCTAAGCCTGGCACTAAGGACTGTTGTCTTGTCCAAGATCTGAGGGAAGTTAGTAAGAGTGGAAACTATCCATCTGACCATGCCAAATCCCTACACTCTACTCAGCTTACTGGATCCAGAGAGGACTGTGTACACTGTCCTGGATCTGAAGGATGCTTTTTTCTCTTTGCCTCTGGCACCAGTGAGCCAACCCATCTTTGCCTTTGAGTGGACAGACCCTGAAGCAGGGTTCAGTGGCCAACTGACCTGGACTCAGTTGCCACAAGGGTTTAAAAATTCTCTCCCACTCTATTCAATGAAAACCTTAGTACAGACCTGCTTGAGTATCGCCAAGAACACCCAAATATCACCCTCCTGCAGCATGAGGACGACCTCCTCATCACTACCCACACCCAGGAGGAATGTCAGCAAGCCACTGAAGAGCTGCTTGAGACCTTCCAGTGATTGGGGTATTATGTGTCTGAAGAAAAAAAAAGCCCAATTGTGCTCCAATAAGGTAACCTATCTGGGGTATTACTTAGAATGCAAAGCAGGGAGCGCTAGCTGGAAGTGGGACAAGCCTATAAACTCTCAAAGCCTTACCCCAGTGATGTACTTCCTCCAAGAAGGCCTTTAAACATTCCATGGCATCCCCAAAACACCACTGCCAGCCGGGGTCCAAGCGTTCAATTCTTGAGCCTATGGGGACATTTATCATTCAAAACACCACACCAGGAAAGCTGAACTTCGCAAGATTCTGTGTGGGCCCAGTATATGACCCTGTACAAAAGTTAGTTTAAAATGGATCAGAAGCTGGGTCTGGAGAGATGGCTTAACAGTTAAGAACACTGGTTGTTCTTGCAGAAGACCCAGGTTCGAATCCCAACACTCACATAGCAGCTAACAACTGTCCGTAACTTCAGTCCCAGGGGATCCGACAGCCTCTTCTGTCCTCCGCAGGCATTACATGACATGGGTGCACTTACACGCAGGCAATACACACATACACATAAAAAGAAAAAGGATCAGAAGCTTTAAGGTCTGACACACTGATACTATTAATGGAATCAAAAGGGAAGAGACCTGAGGACATAGACCCAGAGAAGGCCTTCCTGAAAAGGTCTCTGATAGCTCAGGAAATAATTCTAAAAGTTGACAAATGGAATTGCATGAAGTTAAAAAGCTTCTGCACAGCAAAGGGAAGAGTTGAATGGAGACAGCCTAGTGAATGGGAGAAAAATCATTGCTAGCTATATACCTGACAGGATTAATATTTATACAAAGATGGCAGAGACCTGGGAAGATGGTTCATTCAGTAAAATGCTTGCTTGCTATGCAAATGTGAGAGCCTTAATTTGGATTTCTAGCATCTACTTAGAAAGCTGGGCATGGTGATGTGAGCCTGTGACCCCAGCACCGAAGAGGAGGCGCCCTGGGACTTGTTGACCATCTATTCTAGTTAAATTTGTGAGTTCTAGCCTCAGTAAGAGACCCTGTTTAAAAAATGAGGAAGACAGTTGACGATTACACCTGATGTGCACCTCTGGCCTCCACATGCACACATGGATGTAGACCTTCACACACACACACACACACACACACACACACACACACACCACACAAAGAAAAAAAACCTCAGAAAATGAAATACCAAAGAAATAACACAATGAACGAGTAGGCTGCTGAAAAAAATAGTTGTGAAAAGTGAATTATGGGAGCTGGAGAGATGGCTCAGTGGTTAAATGTGCTTGTTACTTTTGCAGAGGACCAGAGTTCAGGTCACAGCACCCATGCTGGGTGACTTCCAAATAAGTCCAGCTCATGGGATCTGGTCTAGGTCGTGTCTCTGTTGCTGTGATAAACACCACTACCAAAAGCAACTTGGGGAGGAAAGCAGTGCTTATTTCATGTACAGGTTACAGTCCATCATCTGGGGAAGCCAAGGCAGAAACTTAGGACAGGAACTGAGGTAGACGGTGGAAGAAGGCTACTTACTGGCTGCTTCCCTGATTTGCTCAGTTACCTTTCTCTTTTGGTCTTTTTGAGACAGGGTCTTCCAGTAGCTCCAGCTGGCCTGGAACTCGCTATGTAGACCAAGCTAGCCTTGAATTCACAATGATCCGCCTGTCTCTACCGCCAGAGTGCTGGGATTAAAGGCATGCACCACCGCGCCTGGCTCAGTTACCTTTCTTATATAGCCCAGGACCACTTGCCTAGGGATGGCATTGCCCACAGTAGGCTGGGCCTTCCTTCATTAACTAACAATTAAGAAAATACCTTGTAGACATGACCATAGGCCAGTCTGATGTGGAAGTTCTTCAGTTGAGGTTACCTCTTTCCGGGTGACTCTAGTTTGTGTCAAGGTGACAGAACTAGCCAGCGTAGAATCTGATGCCCTCTTCTGGCCTCATTCACTTGAATGCATATACACATAATCAAACATACATCTACATAAATAAAAAATTTAAATGTGAATTGCAAGTGGCCAAAAAACATTTAAACAAGTGTTCAACAATTGTACCATTCAGAAAAATGGAAATTAAAACTTCATTGAGATTCTCTCTAACCCCATCTCAAGCTGGAAGCAGGACTTGGTAATGTGTAAGAGTTTCCTACATGGTTCTGGCATTGAAAGCGTGAAGGGGTCACAGAGAATAGCCGAGGCTTGGCACCCTAAAAGGCCAGGAAAGGCCATTGGTGAAAGTGCAACCTCAGTTGCAGTGAAGACCCCAGGACTGAAGTGGTCATGGAGAGAATATGAGGCTTTGCATCCTGAGAGGCCAGAAGAGCCCATTGGTGAAGGTGAAGCCTCAGTTTCAGTGGAGACCCCAGCTTTTTGGAGGTGCCAGGGCCATGGGACGACCCCCAAGGGCAGCAGCAGGTGAATCCCAGGTGTTGAGCCTTGAGTTACTTGCTGGACTTATGTTTTGCTCAGGTGTACCCAGTTTTTCCCTTTTGAAATAAGACTGCTTGTTTTGGATTTTACAGGAGCCAGCAGTTAAAAAACTCTTAAAAGAGACTTTGAACTGTTAAAGTGTTTGGGTTTTTTTAAAAAAATTTTACTTATTTATTTTTGTGTATGTATGTTTGGATTTTTTGAGTACTGTGGGACTTTTAAAGTTGTACTGTCTTATGTTGTGATATTAGGTTAACATATCTTGGGGACAAGACATGGAAAGCTTGTGGTTTAATAGTGATATATTTGTATTGACAAGGGTCAATTGTGCTGGATAGTTTTTGTTGTCAACTTGACAAACCTGGGTTGAGGGAGCCTCAATTGGGGAATTTCTTCCACTGGAATGGCTTGTGGCCATGTCTGTGGGGCATTTTCTAGATTGTTGAGGGATGTGGGAGGATCCAGCCCACTGTGGGTGGTGCTAGCCCTGGGCAGGTTGTCCTGAGTTGTTTAAAAAAGCAGGCTGAGCATGGGCCAGGGGGAACAGGCCAGTAAGCAGCCTTCTTCCATGGTCTGTGCTTCAGCTCCTGCCTCCAGGTTCCTGCTCTGAGTTCCTACCTTGGGCTCCTTCAGTGCTGAACCGTGAGACGGGAGATGTAAGCCAAATAAACCCTTTCCTTCCCAAGTTGGTATTGGTCGGAGTGTTTTGTCACAGCAATTGAAGGCAAATTAGAACAATAGTTACCAGACATCTCATGACAAAGAGGGCCTACTGGTTTTGGTGCTAATGTTACAGTACCAAGAAAGGCCCCCTTAAGAGAAAATTGGCCAAGAGAATGAAAGTCTCTGACCTGAGTGAAGACCCAAGATTCCTGTTCAGTCAGGTCCATCACCTGGCCACGCTAACACTCCTAGGAAGGTGGGTTTACCTTAAGTCATGCTAAAGAGTTAGGCAGAGTCACTAGTGTGTTAATGAGATGGTGAATTTTCCTTACCCAGAATCCCTTCCGCCTAGTGAAGTAGCTTTTTGAGTAGCTACAGACCTCTTTCCTAAGCATGCTTCCCCTAGCACTCTGGGCTGCCCCAGTATTTTGGGCTTTCTTACCTTTTTCCTAAAGCTGTCCTCCTTGCTGTGTGGCTGCTAGTTTGCCATGTATCTGACCTCATGTTGGCTTTAAACAGGACAGGACTTTTTTCTTCTCTCCTCCGTTTTTCTCCTCTGGGAAGCTGCTGAGATTTGTAGTTATCCTTCCCTGAGAGTTTTTTTCTAATAAAATTATTAAGCTTCCATTTGAGTCTATTTCTAAAATTCTTTTATTAATGAGGCTAAGAATTCTAAGAGGGAGCCCTGTTTTCCCATGTATCATCTGGCAACCACAAAGGGATCCCGAAATTCCAGTAGCACTAATCTTAGACATAGCAATCTACTTTATTCTTATATGGTTTGACATCTTGATTAATGATTCCCTCCAGTCCAGATTCTCTAAAATGATGATCTTTTGGTCTCCAAACTTTGACCTCTTATGTTACTCCCAGTTTAGACCGGTTTAGACTCTCGATTGCTGGATAGATAGGTTCTGTGCATCTGATAAGCCTCATGAGGTATAGAAAATGCATCTTTGGCCTTCATCAACCCTTAAGATTAAAAGATCAAATTATTGGAGGGAAAAATTGAGACAGGATAGAAAGACAAATGGAGGGGCTGGAGAGATGGCTCAGCAGCTAAGACTGGTTGTTCTTGCAGAAGACCCGGGTTTGAATCCCAGTACCCACATGGCAGCTAACAACTGTCCATAACTCCAGTTCCAGGGGATCTGACAGCCTCTTCTGTCCTCTGCGGGCATTGCATGACACGGGTGCACTTACCTACATGCAGGCAATACACACATGCACATAAAATAAAAATAATGAATAAAAAAGAAGACAAATGTTACAGGGACATGAGGAGAGGCCCCCTCACCCACAGTCTAGCTTCAGTATCTTGCCAGTTGAGATGCAAGAATTCCTGCACAATTACCATTTTCCCTGAATGTTGTGGACATACAGATAATATTCATTTCATATATACTATTACTATTTTATGTAAAAATAGTAATGAACTGAGGCTGGAGAAATGGCTCAGTGATTAAGAGTACTCTCTGCTCTTGAAGAGGACCAGGGTTCAGTTCCCAGCACACACTGGTGACTAACAATCATTGATAACTCCAGTTCCAGAAGTTCTAACACCCTCTCTGGCCTCCCTGGGCACTGCAAACATGTAGTGCAGTTACTCACATGTACACTTACATATACACAGGCAAAATACTGATACACATAAAAATACAAATAAATACCCCCCTCCCAAAGCCAGTTGTGGTGGCGCACGCCTGTAGTCCCTGCACTTGGAAGGCAGGTGGATCCCTGTGAGTTCAAGGCCAGCCTGGTCTACAAAGTGAGTTCCAGGACAGCTGGGGCTACAGGGAGACCCTGTTTCAAAATGACCAAAAAATACAAAAACCCCCACAAAAAATTAACCAACCCTAAGTCCTGAATGTATATGACTTTGTACAGGGCCCCATTTCTTTCTCTAGATTCTTCCTGAGAATCTCAAGCAAGATTGATTGTTAACTTTGTTTACTTGAAAGATATCCTATCTTTCTGCACCCTGTGATCCAGACTTTTACCTTATCGATTGTAATCCTGTCAGGTGTCCCTCAGAAGCCACTCTATAATCTCATTTAGGGTCCTCAGCAACCTTTTATAGTTACATTAATGTCAAAACTCACCCAAATCCTATGTATGGTTATTGTAAAGACAATGAAACACTGCAGTTTCCCAGGTTTGGGCTGATTGTCCTTTGAACTGTGAGGAAACTGCATCATGTGTGGTGGTGGGGGACCGTGTTCTTGCTTTCTCCCATAAGTTACTACAATTTCAAAGAGAAATAGAAAGCTGTTGAATGTGTGCAGAACACTTCACTTCAAAGTAGTACTCGGAATCCATATTAATGAGT